AGCTGAGACAGGCTCTGAGAACCTGAGAGTGACCAAGCCATACCCCAGGGGATCTGAAGGGGTCCCAGAGTTCTTTCAAAGACAAGCATTTCTAGCTTCCTTGGGAGCTCTTCCAGCCTTCGAGTCTTTGTCATCAATAGCAGCTTGATGACCATGAGGACCCTGTCCCTCTAAGACAGCCTGATCTCCCTCACCTGTGCCTGTTCAGTGGAAGCCTCCCCAGCCAGGGGCAAATTAAGGCCCCTGCAGAGGGAGGAAGAGAGGAGGGAAGAGCAAGAGTTGATAAGCGGATTGGCCAAGCCCAGTGATCCCCCTGAGGATATGCGCCCCCCGCCCACCACAGTGGTGGGCCTTCCCACCAATATTTAGGAGGTTAGAGAAAAGGGGGCTTCTCAGTGGGAGAACTCCTGCCGCCCTTCTTCTGAGGAGGGGTCCTCCTCTATGAGCTCCAGGTCAAACTCATCTTCCAGGGACCCTCCCACAGGCAGAAGGCGGAACTTCTTCCCTTTCAGGGTGCATGTGCGGTGCTCAAAGTCCAGGACAGCGTTGTGGTCCTGGAGCACATCAGTGCCAATGATGGCTTCCTCGGCACTTGCATTGGCCACTAGGAACTGTGCCTTCAGCTTCAGCTTGCCTAGGGACACTGCTGTATCCCAGACACCCAGGATCTTCATTTCAGCACCATTGGCCACCTTTACCACGTTCTCAAAGGGCCGCAGAGTGTCCAGATCGCCATCGGTGACCTCCTCCCACAAGTTTGGGTGGACCACAGAGACCTGGGCCCCAGAGTCCACCAGGAACCTCACGGGCACTTTACCAATCTTCCCCTTGAGATAGTAGCCCTTACCCATGCTGTTGGCAAAGACGATCTCTTTGGGCAGGTGGCTGGGGGCAGCCCCAGGGACCCCAAAGGCCTTCAGGAGGGTCTCTTTCACAGTCCCGTAGTCTCCCTGGTCCTGGGGACTGAGCCCATTGTAGATATCCAGCGCCTCTCCTCTGAGGGACTCTTTCAGGAACCTTAGCTTGGTGATATGGTCCCAATGGTTGAGGTCATTGATGACTTCAAAGCGGTGCAGCCAGAGGTTTGGGACGACATTGGCCCCATCAAAAGGCTCCGGGACAAAGGCATGCTGCCGGCGGCCTTCCTCACTCCTGGCTCTGCTCCCGGCCATCCTGCTGCTCTCCCCTGGAACTTCAGCAGCAACCCACGCCAAGAAGAGAAACCCACAGAGCAGTGTCGGCGCAATCACGCTGGAAAACGGGGCCTCTGGAAGCAGAGCGGGGATGACTTGCCCAGCCTTGGGCAAGCAGGAGGGAGCAGGTGCCGTTGGCTGACTGACTGCTGGGGCAGAGGCAGGCAGTGCTGTGGCCTGCTCACTCTGCAGAGCCTTTTTGATTCCTAGGCTGGCCCCCGGGCTCCCCATTCTTCTTTGTTCTGGAAGCTCCACCCCTCCTCGCTCCGCCCTCCTGCCAGCATCCGGCCCGACTAGCAGGATGGGTGCCTCACCCTCCGCATCCATCCTTGGACCAACACCAGCCAGCCCACATCCCAAGAAAGGCTGGCCTCTGTTGAAGGGGGACTACCCTGTACCCTCCCCAGCCTGTGTTCCAGAATAACAGATGAGCACATGGAGGATGTGATAACATTCAGGTATTTGTCATCAGCCAGAGAAGGAAGACGGAGGCAGGGACCAGATGCCCATCAGCTCTGAGACCGGGGAAGCCCCTGTTGGCCTCCCCCACAAGTGACTACTTTGAGTGGTCGAAGGAAAAGAGTTTACATGTACAGAGCTCCTACCACGTGCCAGGCACTGGGAAGTGTCTCACACACATTCTAAAGCAGGTATGGGATCCTATGGGATTTCCTGGAGAGGGAGGTAGAGGAGGGTCTCAGAATCAAGAATGCACAAAAATGGTCTTTTTTGAGTGAGGGGACGCACACACACACACACACACGTGCACAATCATCTTACATGGACTCAATTGCTGCAGTAATTTTCCTTCATTGATCACCCCTGATTCAGAGGCAGAGGTGGCCGAGCAACTCTGGGTAGGCTCATACTGGACTCCATGAGCGTTGTCTCCACTCTATTTACCCCTCTCCATTTCCAAGAACTGTTTCAAAGGTCCCTGCCCCAGGCCCTGCAGCCCTTCCTTTCCCACTTCCCAACATGATCATTTGTGGAAAGATCATGGGGAAATTTAGTCCCTTTTCATTTTGAGAGGGAAAACGTCCACCATGTTGGTGATGCCAGTGGTGAGGACCTGGAGGGCTCTGGCTGTGTGCTCCTCCACTGCAGGGGTAAAGGGTAGCACCGGAGGACCTCCAGGCGTCTACAGGGGCGATCTGTGAGTCCAAGGGCTGGAGGCCTGACTTGGGGCTGTGCAGGGGCTGTTGAAGGGATCCACTTTTATGTCCCCATTCAAATGTTGCTCCATGGAGCCTTCTGCCTGTCTCTAGCAAGGGCACCCACTCCTGGTTGAGCGTGTTTTACAGTGTGCTCTGGTGGTTCGTTCACAAGTCTGCCTCTCGCTATGAACCAGAGTCTGGGGCTCGCAAACTTGGCATTTGTGATTGTCTCCAGCCCCCAGAACAACTTCCTCTGGGACCCAGGGGCTTTTTGCTGGGCTCCAGGCCTAGCTGTGTGCTATCACCAAACAGGAATGATTAAGGATCGGAGAGGAGGAAGACTCGAGGGCACACCTGTGGCTCTGGGGCTGTTTTTCCTGGCCAAGAGCCTGTCCCTCTCCAGCTCCCTATGCCAAGCATCACTCAGTGCCTGGCAGAATCCCAGCAGTACCCTGCCTTTGGACAGTCCTGCCTCTGGATAGCCCAGGTCCCCAACCACACTGTAAGACTGTGCTGTCCCCAGCCCCTTCCACCTGATTCAGTGAGCCAGCGGAGAGGCAGCTGGGTCAACACCTCTCATCACAGCTGCCTGGCTAAGGTGGGGCCATTGTGGCATTCCAGGAGCCCAGAGGAGGGGGAAATGGAGTCACTGAGAAGGTGTTGAGAGCAGGTGGTTCTTTGAGAAGATTGCATAATGAAAACCCTGCATCCAGAGAAATGGCCCAGCCACACGCAAGGCCAGGAAGCCCCTTCTGCAGATGGGCTTTTGCAGATAGCTTCCCAGCTGCTGGGATGAGTGCTGTTCTGTGACTCAAAGAACTGACCCAGTGGTTTCCCGATTCCCTGGTGTTCATTACCTCCGCACATCTAGTCCCCTGGAAGTGGAAATGAGTGAGGAGGTTAGCATGCGACCAAGGGAGGAGCGAGGCAGGGTGGCCTGTCAGCTGACAAGCTGGGACTGCTAAATGCCCTGAACCAGCTTTTCAAACCATAGTGGTAGACACTGAATTCCAGTCTCCCCGCTGTGCTTAGACTAGAAATTGGTGGTCCCTTGGGACCTCATTTGAGTGGGTTTGGTGTTCACTTTGGCAAAGTCGTTTCACACACATCATTCCGTGAGCAGTGTGACAACCTGGGAAGCAGAGCAGCTCCGCCCAGGACCCTGGAGCACAGGAGCTTCCATGGCCTCAGGTCTCAGGCTTTCCAGCGGCCAGAGAAGGGCATTTTGCAAGGACAGGGAGGTGGAGTGCTGGGCTGGGAGAGGTACAGCATAAGCGCTGGGGGCAGGGGGTTTTGGTGGGCAGTGGAGAAAGAGCTGCTTGTTAAATATTCAGGAATTTGGTGGGTCAATTGTTAAACGAATTGGTGCTTGAAATCAGACTTGGTGGAAGTAGTTACACCACCAAAATTGGCAAATACTAAATGAAGACTTTTTCCCCCTCTGGAATCCAGTTCCATCACACCCCTGCATGGAAGCCTTGGTCACACTGACTCTCTAGGGCAGGCAAAGCACTGTGGCTGGTGATGAACAAGTTTATGGTAACCTCCACCCCTGCTTAGCTGCTTGGTCCCCCTCACCAAGGAGCCCAAGCCCACCTTGGCCCCATCCTTCCCCACAGTCTTTAGACTTCTGTGCCGCTGTGGCTTGAGGCAGATGACCCTTCAGGTTGTCTGTCCACACAGCTCCCTCTGGGACCTCCACAACAGAAGCACGCAGGGGCCTCGTGGTTACCGTGAGAGCTGGAAGGGGTCGACATCAGCCTCTGGCTGAGTCTGGGAGTCTGTCTCTGGCTAGGATCAGGGACATGGGTAAAGGTTAGTTCTCGAGTTCCCTTATGCCTTGGGAGGTACCCATCCTTAGAATAGCCTGGAAGCACACAGACACCTTGGAATGGCTATGCCAGAGGTGCCCCATGAGCTAAGCCAGTCAGGGCAGCCAGGTGCCACTACCTCCTCCCAGAACCTAGGAAATCATGGTTAATTATTGACAAGTATAGGTATTGGGGTGGGACACCCTCATTATCACCCATTAGCGATCCCTGGGTGTACCCTGAAGCAGGCACACCGCACTTAACCCTGGAGGAGCAAAGCAGGACAATAAACAGGAAGGAGTGGGGCTCGCCACCCTCCACGCCCCCTCACTGAGATTTCTGGGCTGTGAGCTCCACCAACCCAATTCTTTCTCAGTTCCCTGGTTCCCTTTTGCCGTTTCTTTTCTGTTGTTTTTTTAAAATTGTTTCACTTCTGATATTCACTTGGATCCTTTGCCTGCTTTAGTCTCCCTCAGGACAGTTGGGCAAATCAGGACAAGCCCAAGACTGGGCCCATTGGCCCTCCTGAGACCTGAAGCCCTTGGTAGGCAGTGAGTTCACCCCAAACACTTTATTTTATTTTTATTTATTTATTTATTTTTTGAGATGGAGTCTCACTCTGTCACCCAGGCTGGAGTACAATGGTGTGATCTTGGCTCACTTCAACCTCTGCCTCCTGGGCTCAAGCGATTCTCCTTCAGCCTCCTGAGTAGCTGGGATTACACCAGGCTAATTTCTCGTGTTTTTAGTAGAGACAGGTTTCACCATGTTAGCCAGGATCGATCTCCTGACCTCATGATCCGCCTGCCTCGGCCTCCCAAAGTGCTGGGATTACAGGCGTGAGCCACCGCGCCCGGCCCACCCCAAACACTGTAGACCAAGGGTCCAAACTTTTGGCTTCCCTGGGCGACACCAGAAGGATCGTCTTGGGCACACATAAAATACACTAACACTAACGATAGCTGGTGAGCTAAAAAAACAAACAAAAAAACAAACTCACAATTTTTTTTTTTTTTTTTTTGAGTAGAGACAGGGTTTCATGTGTTAGCCAGGATGGTCTCAATCTCCTGACCTCGTGATCCGCCCGCCTCAGCCTCCCAAAGTGCTGGGATTACAGGTGTGAGCCACCGTGCCCAGCCAAAACTCATGTTTTAAGAAAGTTTACAAATTCGTGTTGGGCTGCATTCAAAGCAGGCTAGACATGCTTGCTTTAGATTGTTCCTGCGGCCCGATGACTTCCCAGAACACAGTGGCAGCTTGCAGAGGAGCCTAAAGCCTTCCAAGTCCTGAGGGTGGAGGGCAGGGCCCACCACGCAGGGTGGAGTGGGGAGCAGACCCTGCCTTCTAGGGAGATCGGTTTTTGAGCCAAAGAGCCCAGGGCAAGAGACACCTTACGGACTGGGGTGCCCCTAGTGAGGCCCAGGGTGGAAGAGGAGGGTCGGGAAAGGGTAAGACCAGCACAGCCCTAAGCCGTTCTGCCAGCCCACCTTGGCCACTTCCCCACATTGCCAAGGTCAAGGCCACCCTGGGAAGCTGGTGGGAAGAGAGCAAAGGGGGACCCAGGGGCCTTCGGGGTGGCATGGGGAGGTTGGAGGGAGACAAGGAGGTGCACTCCTCCGTGGGCGTGAGACCCACCCTGCGCTCAGAAAGGCCCCAGTTTGGTGTGATGCTCTGCTGTTGCTGTCCTGAAATTCCTGGTAATTTTGAATGAGGGTCCATGTTTTTCTTTCACACTGGGACCCTGCAAATTAAGTAGCTGGCTCTGTCCCCACCCAGTCCAGTGGTGGGGTCTTCTCTTCATTCGCATGCACGTACACGCAGACACACACGCTCCCTACTACACACCATGTACACGTCCGTCCACAAAAACACACTCCTCCACACTACACACACACACCCTGCACCTGTGAAACACGCACGGCACCCACAATCACGCTACAGTTCTCAGTGCAAAACAGCTGAGCAATTGTGTAACTTGCACATATAATTCAGATCCCATCTTTCATTTCATGTATTTATTTGCACCCACATTTACATCGAGTATTAAAATCCTATTTATTTGAGGCACCTGCTGTTTATTGGCCTCTGGACACACTTGCTGCTTCAGAAGACCAGGCAGGTCCCCATGGCCACGGCTTACAAGCTAATGAAAGCAGGATCTAGATGTTTAACAGCCAAGTGTTGAAGAGTTTAAGACCCATGGATATATGCAGGCTGACCCACTTACTGCACCCCGTCACAACCACGCTGCTTTGAAAGGAGCCAGTCTCTAAGTGGGTCAGCCTGCCTCCTGCTCCCTGCCACCTGGTGAGGGCAGGGACTGAGGCCTCCATCCCCCGACCCCCCAACCCCCCACCTCTGGCCATGGCCGCCAAGACGAAGGCCCTCCCATTTGCCTGCCCCTCTTCTGCACAACTGGGCCCCCCGGCCCAGGGTTGGCGTATGTGTGGGGTTGGTGGCACAGCTCCTCCGAGCACCATCCCTAACCGCATTCTGCTTCCAGCGTTCCGCATCAGTAGGCTTATGGCACCAGATCTTCAAACTGAAAAGAGACATGAAGAGGTGAATTCTGGACAAAAATCTGGTCAGGAACTCAGATCAAAGCTGGGTGGGCTTTGACCAAAGCAAGGTACATTCAGAAATCCAAGGCACCTGCAGTTTCCTTATCCCCAAACCTAAAGCCCCAGATCACACATGCCTTCTCCGACCATGCGGGCACCACGCAGCATCCACAGTCAGTCATGGCCAAGGGCACACGGGCAGGACAGCCTGACCTTGACTGGACCTCCATCTTCGTCCCTGCCAAACCTCCTCAACATGGGCATTCCT